TGTTGTATTTTTCCTCTGCTTTGAATAAATATTTAGGGTATTTCCAAGATGTCGTAAGCGTCGTATTGCCTTAAAGTCGTAAAATTTGTCAATATAAAATAACGATTGAAATGGTTTTAACGGGTTCATAGGGTAGAATAGAGCTATTTATATATTTTCTGTCGGCTCTGGGGTAGCTACAAATCCTCTAAAAGCATTTTAACCTTCATTTTACATTGAAAAATTTTGAGATTTTGTAACATTACGACATATTGTGAATACCCTAATTAAATACATTAAAAAATTTTCACTTGTTCCTTTGTATATAAACAAGTTAAGTTCATAAACCTTACAAGTCCATACCACATTTTCATCTGTTATTGGAAGTCCTCTGGCAAGTTTCAAGTTTCAGCGTTAAAAGGATTTTATTGATTTTCACAGAACGCTAATTTTGGACTTGTGCGGTTTTCGAACACAACGATTCAATTGCAGACGCAACTATTACTAGAAAATATAAAAGAGAAGGCTTACTCCTGCAAGGCGGATATTTTAAGCATTATTCGATGCATATTGACGGGTTGGTAAACAATCGATTCAGTTTTTTGTATCTTGAAATTTTTAAGGTCTAGCGAGGCACACAAAGTAGGCTGGTCATCCATAAAGCATGCCGAGATTTTGCAGACTAGATTTTTAGAAAAAAATGTATATATACTTTAATTGCGAACCTATTCTTTAAAACTCGTAAATGAAATAAATTTAAAAATGTTTGCATGTTTGCATATTTTTACATCACTGTATGTAGCGCTGTTCGAGAATTCTTGCTCTGCGTGCTTCTGCTTTACTTTGATTTTACTAAATTTTTGCTCTTCACAGCTGGAGAATTGTGCAATCGAGCGCAAATAATTGCTGTGTTAGGCATTGAAGCCGCTTTTAACAAACAATCCACTCCAATGGAAGGCTAAGTCAAATTTTTATGTTGATAGATAAACTCAAGATTATTTACAAATATTCTGTGAAATACACCAACAGCGCAACAGTTGTGAAGATAATGCAGCGTCGCTAACGATACGCTCGATACGCTGATATGTATTAGCAGCATATTTGTTAGTACGAGTGTAGGCTATTATGTCGCATAAGTATCATTGGCTTCTGTGCGACTGCTTTTGTATTGTACCCACGAGTAGGGTGTAGGTACGCCATGGCGTATGAGCAACCAGTACTTGAGATCTCCATCTCTACTGAAGTAGCCATTCGCGTTAATCTATTTGAAGTACATTAATATGATTTCAAAAGCTTTATTTTTCCGCTCTGTTTTGAGGGTGGCGCTAACGATTAGTGTACGTTGAAGTAGTTATAGTTATCATCTCCTTAAGGCTTTAAGTACATAAGTTAGACTTTAGTTTGTAAGTCAAGTGAGCGACACTTATGAATGCATGAAGAGCACTTCCTAGAGTAGGAAATGTATTTTCGAAGGATGTTAATAAACATCAAAAGCCACGAGCGGAAGAATATGTGACTGTGTTTAGCTCTTGCGGTGCGTTTCTATAAGTAAGGGATAATTCTCCTGTAAATTTAAACATTTACTATGGGCCGGTTGTTCAATTTCAGGTTATCATTACCTCCCAGTTAAACATTGTTATCGACGTTTTCGACGTCATGGATATAACATGTGATCGATAAAGTAGTCGCTGTATTTAACCGTAGCTTATACCTCCGTTAACCAGACTTGAAACAACCGGTCCTATGTATGTCATATATGTATGTATAAGGCGGCATTCCGCCAGAACACTGCAAACGAATAGTTGGCTTAAAGTAAAGCGGTTAAAGCAATCATGCGCAAAGTCACCAGGCCATTTTCTACCGGTCTTTGAACGAGATGTATCACGTACCACCTAGTCATCTCTCATGCTTCACTTAATGATTGCCTTAATACTGTGTGGCTACGATCAACAAATTCGTTCTTGTTAATACATCCCATGTTCGGACCGACATCGAAAACAGATGGAAAACGCGTTTTGTTGATTGAGGATTCTAAGCTGTTCGTAACGGCTTCTACACTGTGTAGGTCCTCAAGCATGCAAAGGTTCGATTAAAATGGATCCAAAAAATTTGTTCATCAGTTTTTAGATAAATATTTTTGGATCTAAAAACTGTTTTTTTATATGCTTTAAAATATAGTTAGCTGTGGGTTTTTCATATTACCGTTATTTGGGTGGAGAGCAGTGGGTGATGCCATGACCATTTTCATAAAATTGTATGAATAATAAATTTTTAGCTTAAGACAAATTGTATACATATACCAGTTTTTAGTAAATATTGACGAATTCCTTAACCACACTGGTCACGAAATCTGAAAGTCCGGTATATACTTACACATATAAATTCAAGGCCGTCTTTTTGCTGAAACTGCATAACTTTTTGACCATTTTTATGCAATTGCATTACGTGAGGTACCAATTTCTTTGAAAATAAATATTATTTTAAGTAAATACTACTTTAATAAATACTACATGTTTGGCAACTTTTAATAGACATTTCTGAAATCAGCTACATATTTATGAACAAAGTTCGGACGAATCAAAGTTAGCCACCCTATGCTAGAGAAAATCCTACTACAAAAATTTGAAGCCTACCAACGCAACATATGCACGGAAAAAATTTGGTTTTACCATTGAAGTTATAAAAGTTTATCTATTTCGTGACTTCCACAAAAATATTTTGGCTCAACTCGCGCTTGAAAATGTATCTAAAAATCTATTTATTTTTTAAGAAGAAAATTTAAATTGCAAAGTTTTCCGTCCAACAAGTGGCCCCGCATAGTGGTTTAAATCTAAGGGTTCTACATAAAAAATGTGAATGGATTAGTCACATGCCATAAGTTGGAATTATATCAGAGCCTAAAATATTTTATGAAATAAGTGCATTCTAATTTAGATTTTAGATCATAGATTTTAGAGCGAGGACACGATGGGAAATGTTTGTTGGACAATATTACGTGAAACAAACTCAGCGAAATACAAAAGGTAGTTAAAGGTAGTAGTAGTAAAAGGTAAATTTGTTCACCAGCATTACATTTTTTACCCCTCTCTAATGTTGAATTTTGAGAGACATTAGGGGTATTCTCGCAGTCTGGCAAAGCTCTTGTACGGTGCACGGTTTGCAAAGCTGTCCCATAGGAAACCCGGATTTTATCGTTCAATCCGTGCACCGAGCAAGGGCTTTGCAAGACTCCGAGAATACGCCTATTGTGCATTTCATTGCATTGTAAAACATTTTAAAGAATTCTCGGGAGTTGAGGTTTTTGCTGCTCCCGAGGGGTTAATACCTAGTTTTCTTCAAATAAATGTAAACTGTTGTCTCATATTTCATTCGCTTAGTTCCGTTTTCTTAGTGGGGGTTAACACAAATTCAGCAGATAATTTCCAAATTTTTGTACTGAAAACCTCTAGTTAACTGCCGAATGAGAGTTAAACCGTCAGTGTATAAACGGCCCTTAATGGTTTGTAGGATCAAATTTTGTGAATTACAATATGTACTAAAATAGCCACCTTCTTATCAAACGCATTTGCAAAGCTTTTTTTTTTATTAAACCAGCGTTGAGCCTATTATATTACTTAATCGTTTGGGATTCTACACAGGTGTATAAAGAATGGACAAAAGAATGTAAAACGCTGTTTTTTAATCAAATTAAACAAACGATTTTAAATTTATAACAATTTTTTTTTTAATTTTACTCAAAAGTCTTATGTTTAAGAACTCCGTTAGTAGGCATATAATTTTATTACTAAAACTCTCTTCAGTATAGGGTGGCTAGATTTTTTTCTTCCGAACATTTTCCTGATTTCAAGATGGTCAAATCTGAAAACTTTGCAAAAAAACTAGTTTTTTCTTACATTTTCTGCATGTTTTTTTCTATAGTAACTAAACTAGCTGTGTGATTTGTGACTTTGAAGGCAAAAACTTTTGTTAGAGTCTCGTTTACAAACTTCTCTCAGATATAAAACCGACAGGATTGCAAACACAATTTTTCGTATTTTCACTGATATCTCAAAAACTAGATCCGATATAGAGACACCATTTTGATATTTGAAAAGTTTTATTTCATTCTTGGTGAATAAAATTGGTCAAAAATTGTTGAGTAGTGAAGTTTGAAATATTGTTTTACATGGTTTTGGTTAAAGCATGAATAATGAATATTTAAATAAAATAAAATAAACGCGTGAACACTTGTTTCAGTCACCATTATATATAAGTATAATATTACATTCCCACTGCACTAAATCGGAGATTTCGACCTCAAAATCTCAAAACCTGTTTAAGTGTTTCCACCGCGCTTTCTCTGGATTTCGTTGACATTTTCTAATTAGTGTGTGTGTTTGTGTGCATTTGTTTATATAGAGAATTTTGACCCTTCAACTGAAAAATTCTGCAGGGTTGAACTTTTTAGTATCTAAAGGTTTGTTCGTTTTACAAAAGTGAAAATTTCGATATTGATTGAAATCGAAGAAATCGAAATCATAAAAATATATGGGAAATCCCCCTGCATTTCAAAAGATTTCGCAAATTCTCAGACTTCAATGCTTGTTAATTTGTTTGAAATTGGTTTTGTTTTATTTGCATAGTAGGTAAACTCTATTCCAATCGATGCACGCCCTCCGATGCATCGACATATATCTATCGATGCGAGGGAAAACATCTATGTATTGTCGCCATCGATATCCATAAATTCAATGGAGAAATAAGAATGAGTGGTCAAATGGAAATGCCAAACAAATTATGGGTATGAAAAATTATAGAAAAGAATGTTACGCATACGCCATGTACACCAGGGTAAGACTCTTTTTTGCTCATATTTCATACAAAAAATTCTTGCGCAATTTCATTTCACCAATCATTCCATTCTTATTTATCTATTGATTTTCTTCATTTGTAGCTTAATTTTTTTGTATCAGAACTGTAAGGACGGCTTTACATTTGTGTAAAATCATAGTATGTGTCACGTGTACGAATTTTTAAATTACCTGAAACGCTACAAGATTCCAAATTTCCTCATGCGATGAGAACACACACGCTGTGTAGTTGCGCCCTTTAAAATAGTAGAGCTGAACTGAGTGTGATAACGCCACCGGAATGGCTGATGTCACAATGAGCACCCAGGCGCAAATGATGGCCCTGCAAGAAAAATGAAGATTATTAGCGAATATTTGAGTGACATTTTAATCTGACGCCTAAAGAGCATGAACAGCGCTTCATGTTTAAAGAGCAAGGTGTGAAAAAGTAGAAGAACTAAATAAATATCGAGTAAGAATATTGTGGACACTTGACGTGTGCATGAATATACATGGAGGGCTTTATGTGCCTATGTATGTAAAAAAGGTAGTTAACTCACAGCATCGCATTACGTTCGGTACGCAAGGACATACTCGTCACCGGATGCACCACAGCTAAAAACCGGTCGAGTGACATTAGCACCAGCGTATAGACGCTGCCATGGCAGGTGACTACAATCATATACTGTACGAATTTACACCACAAATTACCAAACGGCCATTCGGGCAATACGTAGTCGGTGGCGGTGAAGGGCACACAGAAGATGACGAAGAGTATATCCGAAATAGCCAGATTGATGATGAGCAGGTTTGTGGTAGACCGCATCTGTTGGTTGGCGACAACAACTGTAAGAAAAAGAGATAAGAAAGCACAATATGAAAATATATGTAAGTATATACATAAATAAAACTATGTAGTTTCTATGCTATGAAATATACTCATTCTATGGGTAATTAATATGTAATTATATCCCTTTATAGATGCATAACAGAATATATTTACTTGAAATCACCCTTTGTCTAGACGCGGAACACCCGCCAGAGGCAGAAAATGTATCAACAGAAGCATCAATCGTATTTGCGAAATTCTATTCTAGTTTTTCAAAATCTTTGTTATGTGTATTTACGTAGCAGATGCTAGTACATCGCACGACTTTAATTGGTAGCCAAAAGGTCAGATGCTTCATTACAAGGTTATCCTGTGTGCCCTGGCACCCAGAGAAAACAAGTAGCTTTGTGGAGGCTTGCATTTTCGAACTAGTTTGGAAGAAGTGGAGGGCAGCTTAACGCGTAGAATGCAGCTTGAATCTCACTAAAACATGTAAACTCCTAGCTGTCCCCATTTTTCCCACCAAGTAGTCCATGCACGCAGAGAAAAACTTGTGTAAATTTAACTTAAAATCGATGTAAAATATTTTAGAACCTACGAACTTTTTTCTTACTAATGACGTTTTCTTTTCTACCGAAAAATGTTGCATCTGCTCACAAATATAACGAAGAGGGACATGAAAAGCGAAAATTTTGTGTAGAAAAGAATACGCCATAAGTCTTGTTAATTTTCACGAATAAACTTAGATGAAACTAAGTTTAGATTTTACTTAGGCACGTAAGTTCTAAGTTGAAATGCCAAAGTTATTAAGGGCCACATAGCAGTCGGACAAGTAATTTTTTGGTGAAAAAAAAAATTTTCTTAAGAGGGTATTTAGAAATGAATGTTCTTTTAGGAGAAAACCAAGTTTGTTCATAATACCAAAGTCAAAAAACATTAATTTACCAAATGTGTAGAATAATTTTACGTATCTTTAAAAGAAAAAGCGAAACGAGGTGAAGTTTTCTATCTGCGGTTTTTATGCAGGTGTAAATGTACATATGTTGACAGATCTTAAAAAATTAGCGCCCAAATTTACGCCATTTTGAGTATTAAGCATTTTAGTGCGCTCATGTCAGCTCTTGCCCGCCTAGTAAACATAAAGTGGGGGTGCGTATTTGGGGGTATGTATTTTAAGCTTAATATTATAAGTTAATGGAATAAAAAATGTGTTATTTTATAATATTTTGCATTTGAATACTTGGCATTGTTACTCGTAGCTTCATAATTTTAAGATATTATGTTGTTGTTATTTACCAAAGTATTCTTATTTAACATCTCTAACACTTAACAACTATTACTTGTTCTAATACATTGTCCAGTTTATTATTAAAATACGTGATAAAATTCAAAATGGTAACCAGACAACGTATTGCTGGCGAAGGTGAAGGATACTCCCAAAAGTCGATTGAAGCATTTATAAGAGTTCGTTCACTGGTATGTAATATGTATGTCTATATGTATTGAAAGTTTTAGGGGCATATCATGTCCATTCTTAGGGTTTCTTATGATTTAGAACGCAAACGTCAAGCTGTGAAGCTGTGTTTTTCTGTGATCTGTTTAAATTTGGTGTTTGATAAAGCTGTTTACGCTTATTAAAGTAAAAAATTAAAAAAAGTGTTAATAAACTTCTGGTGCACAATTTAAAGATAAGTNTGAACGAATTGGAATGGATGAATTGAAAGAATAAATAAATTAAATGAATGAATGAAAAAATTAACAAATGAATGAATCACAACCTTTTGTGAATGATTGAATGATTGATTTATTGATATATTATTATATCAACACATTTTAATTCAACTTGGAAACGCCACTCGTTCTCTTTCCTTTCTTTTTCATTCTTTGAAAAAGTTTATTTGCAAATAAATAAAACGGGTGGGAACATACCTTCCTAATTATATAGCATTTTCAGTTTAAATGAAACTTTTTTCAAATTAAATGAAACCTTTTTCAGGTTAAGCGAAACCTTTTTTAAATTCATTGAGACCTTTTTCAGACGAAGCGAAACCTTTTTCAAATTAAACGAAACCTTTTTCGGATTCAATGAATCTTTATTCAATTTAAAATAAACTTTTTCCAGATTCAATGAAACTTTATTCAAACCAAATGAAACTTTTTTCAAATTAAATGAAACTTTATTCAAATTAAGTATTAAACATTTTTAAATTAAGGAACAGGAAATCAACTTAACCTATTAAGTGCCGTTTGCACCATGTCTGGCTAACACTAGGCTCTGTTATGCATACTTGGCATTGCTTGAGAGGTGTCACCCAACGCACAGCATTACATACGTAGAAGTCTGTTGGTTTTTGATTTCTACGTAAAAACACGTACGTAACAGAGCCTTAACTCCCAGTTACACATCGTTATCGACGTTATCGACGCCATACTTATATCAGGGAGTCGAAAACGCCGATTATGATCTTTAACTGGGAGAATATTTTTACTGTTGCTACACGAATTCAAAGCTGTCAACTATTATTTTCTTAAGGGAAAAGAGTGAGATGAAGTACAAATACTCTCCCTTCTCTCTCACTCGCTTAAGCGAAATGTAAAATATGGCATTTGCATAACAATTGTCTAATTATTCTCTTTTAACTTAAACAAACTCTATGGATTAGAGCACAGTTTAATCACGGCAACATTCAACTTCGGTTCAAGAATAATTTTGACATGTCCCATTTCTCTTTTCCTTGTCACATCATCCTTTACATGTACTCCCGAAAACAGAAATATTTGAAGTTTTATAAAATGAATAAATTATATGATTTGCCTAGTTACCAAAACCCCTCGAAAAACACAACAAACCAACCAACCTACCATAGCCTTATTTTAAGAAATGAAACAACCAATTTTGGTCCAATTGGACCGAAACGGCAACACTGTATTCAACATGCCTTGACCGTAAAGGAGATCAACACGTAACAGCTAATTCAAAGTAATCCAAAAAAGAAGTTTCATTTCATTTGAATAAAGTTTCATTTCATTTGAAAAATGTTTCATTTAATTTGCATAAAGTTTCATTGAATCTGAAAAAGGTCTCATTTAATTTGAATAAAGTTTCACTGTATCTGAAAAAGGTTTCATCAAATTTGAAAAAGGTTTCGCTTAACATGAAAAAGGTTTCATTTAATTTGAAAAAGGTTTCGCTTAATTTGAACATGGTTTCATTTAAACTGAAAATGCTATACCTCAATGGTGTAAAGAGCTAAAATTTTGGCTGAGTTATTTAAGTTTATCTCAAACCTTAACTTATATAACCCTTAAACACTTCCAATATTACTACAAAAACTTCTATATAAAAATAGTCTTGCCCAAATCGCAAAGTTTCGCAATTTTGTAACCAAAGTCAAAATCCACTTCTGTTTTTCGTTAAGTCACGCCAGCGCATATGTTTACTAATATCTTTAAGGGCCGTTTGCACAACGTCTTGGTGACAATAATTGGATGTACATCCTTCAGTTAAAGACATCGATTGCTCTATTGATCACATGTTATAAATATGCTGGATATGCTGGATAACGTCGATTGCCAAGTTTAACTGGGAGTTGGAATTAATCAGACATGATGCAAAGGTCCCTTCTGCCAACAGTTGTAATTCTTTTACTGAATAAAGGGTAATTTAATTACTATATAAGTATAGAAAAGCCTTTTTAAAATTTTGACTTTTAAACTTCTTTTTAACATGTTAGCATACAAATATCACTTAACGCCAGATTGAAAATGCGCAAGGCGAATTTATATAAGATGGTGTTACTTGATCAGTTGATTTTGTGTATGTGTTTCGCCACACGGCTTCTTATGTTAAATTGAAAAATGTTATTTGAATTTCCATATATACTCTTACAGATTCTGACAGTTTCTGCCATCAAAGCAGAAACAAAATACATGTAAATTTTTGTTTTTGTATTCCTGCTATCATTTTATATGAATTCGCCTTGGAAATACGCATACACAACAAAAATATTCTTTAAATTCTCTTTCCAAAAAATACTCATTCGGTCCCATAGCTGTAATGCTATTTTAAAACGTATACCACAAATCATAAAATTATAATTATAAATTAACACTTCCGGGTCAACGGGGTATTTCCAACCACTGTCCTGGATTTTTTTTTTCGATCTTATCTTCTTGTCAAAAATACAAATAAAATAATTTTGTCCAGCTAGCTTCTTCTAGTCGCCACACTATGCGACGTCACCAATTTTCTTCCATACTATGTTCGACAATTTGTTTTGTATCGAAGAAAATAATAACACCGTCGGACAGTGCTTCCCTTCCATATACAACGTAGACAATAATATAATTATGAACGGATTTAAGTGAAAATTCGTTTCTGAGTTAAACTAAGAAGCTAAATTCAACAAGTAAGAAAGTCTAAGTTCGGGCGGAGCCGAACATTAAATACCCGGCGCAAGTATTAAATATATGTTTTTTCACCTTTCCGAAACCTTCCGCTAGATGGTAAGCCGGGGT